AAAATATGTATGCTGATTTATTTACAATGTCCAAATGGATTGTTTTTCACCCAATATCCTTCCCATTTCCTTCATACGCCCGGACCCATTGAATTGTACAATCCTATGATTAACAACCCCCACAGCCCATCGTCACCCCTTAGCAGCATCTCTTGAAAGCCACTGGATTCAAATGTCGACAGAAATATTATCTAGCCAAGTACTACGTGTGAAAGAAATGTCATTAAACGGGGAAAAGCAAGACATTCATTGACCGATCACAATTACGGATGATCCATTCAGGCAGCTTTCAAAAATACAAAAACAAAAATATGTGTCTTCTCTGCTTTCTTTCCCTGAGCTACCAAGAGAATAAATTTAATTCAAGTTTTGTATCATAATTTCCAGTCAGACCACCCGCTGGGCATCAATCCCTGGCCAGGTTTATCAACAGAAACGAAACTCTGACAGTTTGAAGCCTGCATCTGAAAACACATGGCAAGTGCAGCTTTCAAAAAAGAGCAAGGCATTGACTTTCAAAACAGCTCTGCCGATTGCACGCAATCTTGATAAGGGGACTTTCCAATGAAGAATTTGCTGGGTGCATGACTGATAGCGAAGCTGTCTTTCCTGAGGAAAATCGTGACATCTTCAGTTGACATCAACTCAGTCCCATCTGAGACAAAAAAGGTAAAGAGAAGACAGACATTTATCCTTTGCGAGGTTGTTGTGGCAGAGGAGAAAACAATTTGCATACGGGCTTTAATGAGGAAAGGTGATTGGAGCTCAGTATTAAAACTGACTCTGCATGCAGATGCTGTTGCTGAAGGTCTTCGGATGACCTCATTATCACCACCTTTGAAACAGGCTCTAAAAATGTGGTTCTTTCTACAAGGTCTTCATGGCACCCCTATCACAACCACTTTTTTGAATCTGTTGTAAATTTGGCACACTTGCTAGAAAATCTTCAGGGTGTCCTTATTGACATCACTATAAATACATTCTTGCTAGGATGTCTTTGTGGGTTATTATCTACAGCCAGGTAACTTCAGAGAGCATTGTTCAAATTCTTTTTTTTTCTTTTTCCTTTACATTAAGCAATCATTATTGGTGAAGACCATGGCATGGGTCAGGAGTTGGACAATGACTAAGGATGATCAAACACTCAACGTCTTTGAGTTGTGGTTAGGGAGAAGAGTAGCGAACATGCTATGCACTGCTAAGAGAACAAATACGTCCATGCTGGAGAGGGTGAAATCAAGCTGTTCCTTGAAGGCAAGGATTTTGAAGCTCTGTCTCATGTACTTTGGATATGTTGCCAGGAAGGACCAGTACTTAAAGAGGGAGGTGCCTCATGCTTGGAAGAGTGGAGGGACAGCAGCACAAGAGAGGAAGAGATGCATTGACTTAATGACTAGGGTAGTGGGGGTAACTGTGTGAGAAACAATGAAATTGACTTTAGATAGTGCAGGATTCAAAGTTGTTGTACAAGGGTCACTATGAGCTGCAGGCAACTTGACGGCATATAACAACAACGTTAATCATTATTTTGTCCAAATGGGTAGTGAGAACAAGCTGTTGACTCTTGGGTAGATTCTATACAAGTTTTCAGGTCTCTTATTCATAGGGCCACTATGAATCGTCTATCACTCAACGGCACTTAACAATAACAACATAGAGGAAGCCCAGTTGGTCTAGTGGACAACAAGTGATGCTACCAAGCCAAAGGTAGGTTATTTTAGCCTGTGGCCCTCAAACATGATTTTAATTGGCTTTGGCCAAATATTCTTCTAAGTGATATAGCACTGGTCTGTCCATTTGCAAAATAGCTTACCTCCAGAAACTCTGTGAACGTGGAGAAAGGATGAAAGTTATACAAGTGTTCAGGTCATTCATTCATAGGGTTGCTATGAGTTGTCTATGACTCAACAGCACTTAACAACAACAACAACAACAACAATAACAACATTACTTACTCTTATTCCATTTCCTAAGAAGATGTAGTGGTATAGTTGTCTAATTGAGAAATCTCTTGCCATATGAGAAGGACTTTGCATATCTTTGCAACTGCTGAGAAGTAACAGTGAGCAGGCATGCTATCCTGTCTTTTTCTAACTGCCAAACACCGATTGCAGGACTATATCCTTTCTTAAAACCTATGCACAATAAGGTTGGCACAGGATAGAGCAAGTTTCAGGGCTATTGTACATGGGGTCTCAATGAGCCACAAGTGAATCAATAGCACATAACAACAACAATACCTATGCAATCCATATGATGAGCAAATTAGTCACTCAGGACTATGTGAATAAGAGTGTGATATTAAGATCGGAAGAAGAATCATTGACACGCTGCATTATGTAAATGGAATAACATTACTTGCAGAAAGTAAGGAAGACATGATGATAATCGAAGACACCAACATTTAATTTGGATTGCATTTCAACACAAAGAAAGCAAAAATCCTCATCATTGGACTAATAGGCACTTCATGATAGATAAAGACTGAAGTTTCCAAGAATTTTCTTTTATTTGGATCTATAATGAACACCCACGTGGCAGCCATCAAGAAATCAAAATGTTTTGCATTGGGAAAATCTACTGTCAAGAACGTCTTCAAAGAACTAAAAAGCAAAAATGTCAGTTTAAAGACCAAGGCGCACCTTAACCAACCCATAGATTTTCAGTTACTTCCTATGCATCTGAAAGCTGAAGAATTAATAAAAACAAAGGAAAATCAATGTCTTTGAATTCTGATGTTAGTGAAGAATATTGAATATATGACACAGACTTTCAAAAGAACAACAACCGAAAATCTATCTTAAAGGAAGTGCAACTAGAGTGCTCTTACTTCGCCTCACTTACTTTAGTCATGTTTTCTAGAAGAACTTGTTCCTGGAGGCAGACATCAGCCTGGGAGAGGTAAAGGAGAGAGTCAGGGGGAAAAAAGAAAGACCCTCAATAAGATGGATTGAAAACGGTGACTGCAGCAATGGGCTTGTGTGGAGGGCACAGGATAGGGCAAGATTTTGATCTACTGTTCACTGGGTTCCTATGAGCTGCGGTTGATTCAACAACGCCTAAAAATATGAAAAGAAGTGCCTCTACCCCTAGATCATATAAAGATTCTGAGACACTACTTTGACACTGACTTTGACCTTACAACTTCATTGGCTCCCTCTTTACCCCTGGGTAGACCTTTTCATAAGAGGCTTGGCAAACAACTTGAATGTAGCTGTGGTATTTGGCATGGCAGAGCCATGGGGCCTTGAACAGAATTCTGTGTCACTCCCCACCTGTATTCTATTCCCATGATTGGTTCCAAACAGAGCGTGCTTGCTTGCACTGAGGATAAATATCACTTAAAAGAAGTTAAGAAAAGTAAACTGGGTGATTTTCTCCAAGGAAATCCATTACGTCACAAATCTCAGAGGACAGTTTTACAAACCTAACACTCTGGGATTTTAAAGAAGATGTAAACATTCACTTATCTAACCTCCAGAAGTATTTAGCTCACTCTACTATACGTGATTCATAGGGACCTAAGTCCACCTACATGTTTCCAATTGATCCCTTAGCCCCATCTCCTAGATCTCTGTAGATGCAGTCTTGCTTCATAGGGCTATGTTGGTAAACCATTATTTTAGGCCCCTTTCCAGGAAGAACACAGAGAGGGAACAGTTCGGCTGTTAGTTTGACTTCTGTCCAATTGTAGCTCTCTTCTGCTCATTTAAGAGTCCCTGAGATCTCTAAGTGACTCAGAACTGGCACTGAATCCCTAAGTATCATATAACTAGATCAAGAGATAACAATAATTGGAGGAAAGATTAACATCGTCTTGAATTTCATTTTTCGTGGATCCACAATCAAGCCCATGAAAAGCAGCATTGAAGAAATCAAAGATCATCTTGTTGTACTGCATTGGGTAACTCTCTTAAAACTGATCTCTTTAAATCGATGGGGGGGGGGTGGGGAAGACATCCCTTTGAAGACTAAGGTGTGCCTGACTGAAGAAATAAAACAAAAACTGAAAAATTACTGCCTTCAAATCAGTTCTGCCTCTGATCATGCTTCCAAGGCTGTAAATGTTTATGGAGACTATGTGTCTTCTTAGGAGAAACTAGTAGATTCAAACCAGTGACCTCTGGGTTATGCGAACTGGCACCATGCCAGTGGAGTTCCTTAGCTATAATATTTTCAAATGTTTAATTTAGAAGATCTATAAGGACTTTAAAAAGGGAGAGTAGCCTTCTGCTTCCTTGGAGTGGTGAGTGCCCCAGCCATGGAAGCTTTCCTTGCCAGCCTCTGTGGGCCAGAGAGGACTTTAAGGACTTTAGGAAAGGGAAGTTACCCTTCCCTCCACTTCCCTGAAGAGGGAAGCTTTCCACCAGCCACAGGACTGGAGAGAACTTGAAGTAGGGCGAATTGTACTCCCTGTGTGTTCCTCAGCTAAAGTAAGATTTCCCATGGACCACAGGATGAGAGGACCTCAAGCACAGAGAATTTACCTCTCCTCCCCAGATTCAGTGAGATCCCTCACGGCCAGAGAGGACCTTAGGAGTCTTCCCCTTCCCTGAGTAGTTAAACGTCCCACTTGGGCCCAATTTTCCCCTGATCACAGAGACCACAGAGGTCTTCAGGCAGAACGAGTGGCGCTCCTTTTCACCAGAGCAGGGAGTACCCCAGGTGGCCAGATTCAGGACCTGCGAGGAGCCCAGACAAGGAAAACTCTATCATAGTAATAGTATGGAAGAAGCAGAATACCTCACACCCTATACAACACAACAGCAAGATGCCACCCAAAAAGGGACCAAAATACAGAATCACTGACTTTTCTAAAGGCAGAAACTCTGATTGAACTTCATGATATAGAATTCAAAAGAACAATTATCATGTGTTTTCAATAGACAAAATTAAAAATTGTGAAATTGGAAGACTGTACATTCAAAATCCAAGAGGAACTTTAAAAAAAAAAGTACAAGACAAAGCAGATAAAATCACCGAGGCTTTAGAAAACATAGAAAAACAGGAACTAGTAATGGAGACTATTAACACCAATGTGTCTGAAGCTGTCAAATAAGCAGATTTGAAGAGATAGAACACAGAATCAATGAAACAGAAGGTAAAGTCCCCAAGCACTGATCTGCTAGAGTGAAAAGCAGGACCAAGAAGAAAGGAAAAGGAAGAAAGCCTAAGAGTAATATAGGACACCATCAAGAGGAGTAATATGCGCATAACTGGAATTGCAGAAAAAGAAGCAGCAAAAAAATTGTCTTTAAAAACTGTGGCATAGTTATAGGAAGAAAACTTTGCAGCTATCCTACAGAATAAGAAAACAGCATCCAAGAAGCTGAGCAAATCTCAAATAGAATAGACCTCAAAAGAAAAACTCCAAGAGATATTGTAGACAAATTACCAGAATTAAGAACAAGGAGAGAATTCTAAAAACAGCTAGAGAAAAAGGCAGAGCAACCTATGAAGAGGAGCAAATAAGATTAAGTGCAAGTTTTTCAACAGAAATTATGCAAGCAGAACAGTGGAATGACATACATCAATATATCTACACTCAAAGAAAGACACCTGTCAGTCAAGGATACTGTACCTGCAAAACTGCCCATCAGCACAACAGGGTGAACAATAAAATCTCGGAAAACCAGACACCAAGAGAGTAAAAGTTGGTCAAAATAATAACAATGTTGTTGCAGAAAGTCAAGGACTGTAGTCTTCAATATGGATTGAAGCTCAACATCAAGAAGACAAAGATTCTCACCACTGGGCCAATAGTCAGCACCATGATAGATGGAGAAGAGATTGAGGTTAACAGTTACAGCTTGCTCAACTCCACAATCAACACTCTTGGAACCAGCAGTCAGGTAATGAAAAACCGAAATGCACTGGAAAAATCTGCTATCAGGGACCTCTCCAGAGTACTGAGAAGCAATGATGTCAATCTAAAGACTAGGTGAACCTGATCCAGGCCATGGCCTTCACAATTACTTGTCATGCGTCAAAGAACCGGACAATAACTAAGGACGACAGAAGAAGAATTGATGCCTTCGAGTTATGGTGCGGGCGAAGAGTCTTGAACATACAGACCACCAAGAAAACAAATAGGTCTGTCTTGGAGAGGGTAAAATCAAGTTTCTTCTTGGAAATTAGGATTATGATGCTCTGTCTTACATACTTTGGGCACATGGCCAGGAGGGAGTGCTCCTTGAAGAAGGGCATCATGCCTAGAAGGGTGAAAGGACAGTGCAGGAAAGGAAGATCCTGAATGAGATGGATTGATACAGTAACTGGGGCAATGGGTGTAGATGTGATGGAGTCCGTGAGACTGGCTCAGGACAAGGCAGAGTTCAGAGCTGTTGTACGTAAGTTCTCTATGAGTCTCAGGCAACTCAATGGTACATAACAACAGCAACAACATGGCAAGCTACAAGGGACTTACTTGAGCAAGTATTAATTCTATCACGGAAGGTCAAAGAATAAGAGAAATATTTTCATAGAGATAGATTGTGAGAATGAGTTCAAGCATAGTGGTGGTTGTTAGGATGCATAGGACTGGACAGTGTCTCCATTCAGTTGAACATGGAGTGCATATTGTACATAAAGTTGCTATCAATGTTAGTTGGCTTGACAACACTATCTTCCTTTATACAAAGAGGCCATATAATTGTGACCTTGAACTTAACTTTAAGAATTTGATAGGACTGGATTCATACCTGTTTTTGACTGTTACAAACTCTGTGTCCAAAAATGCCCGAGAAGGTGACCTGGAGGAGGCGGATGAGCATTTTGTGCCAGCTGCTCAGAAGATACCAAGAGTCTAAGAAGATTGATCGCCACATGTATCACAGCCTATACCTGAAAGTAAAGGGGAATGTGTTCAAAAACAAGCGAATTCTTATGGAACACATTCATAAGCTGAAGGCAGATAAAGCCCGCAAGAAGCTCCTGGCTGACCAGGCTGAGGCCCATAGATCTAAGAACAAGGAGGCACGCAAACGACGTGAGGAGTGGCTCCAGGCCAAGAAAGAAGAAACCATCAAGACTCTGTCTAAAGAGGAAGAGACCAAGAAATAAAGCTCCTCTCCTCTCTGTACATAGTGGCCTTGGCAGTTATATAGGTCATTCAATAAAACCAGCCTTTGTCTGCCAAAAAAAAAATAATAAAAATTTAGAGAAACCTCAATTTCAGGTTGTTATTCTTGTTGTTTTGTACCATTGAGTCACCTGCTATGTATAGCAACACCATGTACATTGGCTCTGAAACTTTCAATATCCTAAATTAATCTCATTTTCAACAGACTTAATCCCATTTCTCTAATCACTGAGTTAAGTACCTCTTACCCTGTGTCTTCTCTACAATTTGTTGTGATCCACACAGTCGACTGCCTTTGCATAATCAGTGAAACGCAGATAGACATTCCTCTATTACTCTGCTTTTATCCAAGATCCAGCTAACATTGGCTATGATAACCCCACCATGGCCTTTTCTAAACCCAGCATGCTTGCTTTTTTGCCAATTCCTTCAGAGCAGCTTGAACTTCCTCCTTCATTACCATAGGGTTTTGATCATATATTATTTCCTCAAATTCTTCTGTGTCAGCCAATTCTTTTTTGTGTAGTTCCTCTGTGTTCTCCTTCAATCCTCTTTTGATGCATCCTGGGTCATTCAACATTGTATCTGCAGCATTCTTAAGTATTGCAATTCAGAGCTTCCAATTTGTTCTTTAATTGAGGACTGACAATATCAGTATGAGGACTAAAATGTGCTGATTCAGGCCATGGTCTTTGCAGTTACTTGCTATGTATTTGAGAGCTGGACAATGACAGAAGGAGACTAGCTACCTTTGAATTATGCTTTTGGAGAACAATGTTGAATATCTCATGGACTCTCAAAAGAACAAACAGATATGTCTTGGTGTATGTGCAGCCGGAGTGCTCCTTAAAGGCAAAGATGATGAAACTATCTCACATATTCTCAGTATGTTACTAGTAGGGGTTGTCCTTTCGTGAGGGACATCATGTTGGGAAGATGGAGGGAGAGTGAAGGAGAAAAAGACCTTCAATCAGAAGGACTGACACTGTGACTGTAGCAATGAGTTTGAGGTTGTGAGGACACACAGGATAGGACAGGGTTCAGATCTGTTGTTCATAGTTTTACTATAAGTCATATTCTACTCAATGGCACCTAACAACAACAGTAACGACCTCTCCACAATTCAATAGTATCCTTTGCTTTACAGAGTGGTTGAGTAATTAACTATCCATCATTCTAAAGCAGATCAAACTGACTGGCTAGGGTGTCTATGAATATAGGCCATGTGAGTGAGTGTGTGTGTGTGTCTATGTACAATAGAGCCACACACACTAGACAAGCAGGAACGTTTAAATGCAAACAATCACCGGGGTTGACAGAAGAATAATTTATGCCTTTGAGTTGTGGTGCTAGGGAAGAATATAGATCATATCCTGGACCAGTAAGAGAACAAACGGGTCTGTCCTGGAGAGGATGAAAACAGGTGGAGGATAGGATTTGAAGATATATCTTACATAATTTTGGTATGTGGCCAGGAGGGACGAATCCTTGGAGAAGGACATTGTCGTTGGAAGGGTAGAAGGACAGTCTAGGAAAGGAAGACCCCAAATGAGATGGTATGACACAGTAACTGGGATAATGTGGATAAGTGTGTCAGTGACAGCAACACTACCTCAAGATAGGGCATGATTCAGACTTGTCGTGAATAGGGTTTCTATGAGTCACAGACATTCATCTCTTCCAATGCAATATTCTCTATTTATACCCTCTTTTCTTAGATTCCCCCAATCCCCATGTCGTCCTGTTTTATAACAGTGGTGTTATGCAGTACTTATCCTTTTGTGACTGAGATATTTCACTTAGTATAAGATCCTCCAGGGTCACCCCTGTTGTGTAAATTTTTATGAGCTCCTTGGTCTTCAGTGCTGCATAGTAGTCCATTTAGTGAATATATCATAGTTTTTTTATACTCATTCATTTTTTTGATGTACACTTGGGACGCTTCCATCTTTGCCATTGAGACTAACATTGCAATAAAAATACTCCAGCACCTTAATAAGAAAAAAAGGTGAAGAACCCAATAGACACTTCACCAAAGGAGACATTCAGATGGCAAACAAACACACTAAGAAATCTTCAAAATCTCTAGCTTTCAGAGAGATGCAAATAAAAATAACTATGATTTATCATCTCACCCCAGTAACAATAGCAAAGTTCAGAAGAACAACTAAAATGCTGGTGAGGTTGTGGAGAGATTGGAACCCTTATTTAACTGCAGGTGGAGGTGTAAAATGGTGTGACCACTATAGAGGGTGGAATGGTGCTTTCTCAGAAAGTTGGAAATAGAAATACCATTTGATCCAGCAATGCCACCCCTAGGAATATAACCTAAAGAAACCCGAGTTCTCACCCAAAACAGATAAGAGTCATAATGATTTTAAAAATCTCAGAAACTCGATAGAGGGTTACCAGAAGCCAGAATTTATTTAATGACAATTTTCATCTTTGTTTCTATGTTTTATTGTATCTATACCTGTATTAGAGAGCTCAGGAGGCTAAATGGTTAGAAACTCAGGTGTAATCTCAAAGGCACATGATTTGAGTCCACCAGATGCTGTATTGGAGAAGGATGAGCAAAAGCATCCCTTGGGATTAACGGCTTCTGAAATTTCACATGAGCATCAGGTATGTGTTGGTTCTGAAAAGTCATAGAGATGGCACAAAACGACAACATGTCTGTATTAAGAAGCTCCATAAATGTTGTTGTACTGCCAATTAAAAGGTCTCTGATCTTCAGCAGTTCAAATCCACCATGTGGTCCTTGAGAGAAAGATGGAGATTTTTTTCCCCTCACTATATTTTTGTTGTTGTTATGCGCTGTCTAGTCACCTGTGACTCATAGCGACCCTATGTACAACAGCTCTAAACTGCTAAAGCCTGCTCTATCCTGTGTCAATCTGATTGTCTCTGACACATTACCCCAGTCACTGAATCAATCCATCTCATCGAGGGTCTTCCTCTCTTGTGCTGTCCCTCCATCCTCCCAAGAATGATGCCACTCTACAAGGACTGATGCCTGGGAACCCTGATGGAGGACTTTTACGTAGCAGTGTAAATGAGTGAGTGAATATACTTACACTGATGTGTGTAATGCAAAATCTACAGGAAACGGGCTTATTCTCAGAAAAGTCAGGACCAAGGAAAGAAATACCTCTTATTCTTATTAACAACTGTTCTCTTAAAAGTAGATTTCTAAAAAATGTCATTGATTTCAAGAAAAAAAGAAAACTCTGTAAAAGCAAGGGGTTGCTGAAATTAAATAATGATCTCTTGCTGACAGTTGTCTCTGGTACTTCACAGGAACTTGACTATATCCACACATCTGAACTCTAAGTAGAAGTTTGCTCTTGCTCAGTGTTGCTGAGTTGACTATGTAGAGATTGTAAGCCTCTCATGAGCACCATTCCGCAAATCATTACTGTGCCTGAACCCATTGCTGCAACCACTGAGTTGATCCATCTCCCTGAGTACTCCCTCTATTCTGATGGCTCATCCTTCTCCAAAGACTGTTCCCTCCTGAGAGGTTTTATAAGCTTTTCCCTCTTGCCATTAATTTCTAGTTTTATGATACTGTGGTCTGAAAAGATATTTTCTATTATTTCAATGTTTATGGATTTGTTGAGGCTTGCTTTGTGTCTTAATAGATGATCAATCTACTTCCTAAATAACATGCCTCCAGACACCCTATAAACTTTGACAAAAATTGATAGTCATAGGGGTGCTTCAGGTCCTCTGTTCATAGGATCGCTATGAGTTGTGCTCGACTTGAAAGCAATCAACAACCACCACCACCACCATGTGCACTTAGAAGAAAGTATATTGACATTTGGTTTGGTAGAGTACCCTGAATACATCCACATGGTCAAGTAGGCTGATGGTATTGTTTAGATCACCTGTATCTTCGTTAAGTTCTTTTTAGTTGACCAATCTTTTGTTGAGAGTGATTTGTTAAAAAGTCTCCCACCACTATTGTGGTGCTGTTTCTTTCATTAGGTCTGTTAACTATTGTTGTATGTATTTAGCAGGTCTATCATTTTTGTGCACAGATGTTGATCAAGGTTATTACTTCTTGACCTATTGACCTATCATTATATAGTTGTTATGTGTCATTGAGTTACCTGTGACCCAGAGCCACCCTTTGTAGGGTAGCTCTGAAGCCCGCCCTGTCCTGAGCTAGTCTTACTGATTCAGACACACCAACCTTCACTGTTCCAGTTACTGTATCAATCCATTTCATCCAGGTTCTTCCTCTACTGTGCTGTCCCTCCACCCTTACAAGCATAATGGCCTTCTTTAAGGTCTGGTCTCTTCTGACTAAGTGCCCAAAGTATGTGAGATGGAGCTTCAAAATCCTAGCCACCAAGGAGAGACTTGGTTTCTCCCTCTCCAAGACAGACTTATTTGTTTTCTTGGTGGTCCATGATATGATCAAGACTCTTCTCTAATACCGCATCAATTCTTTCATCCTTAATCATGGTCCAGGTCTCTGATGCATAGTAAGCAATTGTGAAGACATGGCTTGGATTAGGTGCACCTTAGTCTGTAGACTGACATCATTGTCATATATTACATATCACTCTTTTTTTATCTTTTGTGGTGGTTTTAATCCTGAAGTTCATTTTATCAGAGATTAGTACTGCTATTTGTACTTTTTCATGGATCTTTTGCTTGGTACATTTTTTCCAGCCTTTGATTTGAATTTTAGTCTATCTTCTTCCTTGTTTCTTACATGTATCTCTAATATGCAACATGTTGTTGTTGTTGTTGTTAAGTGCTGTCAAGTCACAGGCGACTCATAACGAACCTATGAAGGAGAGTCCTTGACACTTGGGTACCTTTCATCCTCTCTCCAAGTTCATCGAGTTTCCAGAGGCAAGTTATTATGGAAGTGGATGCCACTCCTCCTTCCACTATATGCAACATATTGATGGATATTTCTTTTTTGGTTTTTTGTTTGTTTGTTTGTTTAATCCATTCGCTA